CATCACAAGTCAATGCTGGGATTAAAGAATGTAATTTTTATTCAAATATAACATATAACAACTAACAGCACTTTGTGTCCGGTTGGAGAGAACATGCAAAATTCCTTTTGGCGTTTGTTCATAGAATTCTTATGAGAAATGATAGTGGAGAAGACGTTCTTTACTGTGATTATGAGTATGACAGTGATGCTGCGAGGTATGATGTGCTTGCTCTGACTGCATCAGCATCACTACAAAGATGCAATACACGTTTGCTTGCGAAAAAAGTTTCCCCAAGTGCTGCTTCAGAAAAACAATGAAAGTGAGAGAATAGAAAACCTCCATGAGGATTAGGGTTAGGGGAGCGGTCACCATTGTGTATTAGCTCAACTGGTGGCACTCCCTGCTGAAAAGTACCACTACATGCTTCATTTGAAATAAAAGAACATCACGTGGAATTGTCCTGTTTTTCAAAGGGAAATTAATGGGCTGCTGTGTGCTAAGCATTCTTTGGAGAGAGGTGATTTCCCTCAGCAAAACACATTAACAATGCACAACAGCCCCCATTCAACAGATTGTAGATGAATGTCTGCAGCCGGGCGTAGCCACGAGAGCCGTGGTGTCGGGAAGTAACCCTGTAACAGGTACCGACTGCCCAAAACTGCATTGATGATGCATATTTGATGCTGAATATTTGATGGGAAATGTGGGGGCATGATGGCGAGGATGAAAAGCCACGTCTATGCCTGGAACCCGGGATTGGATCAGCATATTAATGCAGAATAGTGATTATACTTTGTCGGCAATACCTCAAGGCCGGGCATTTAATGAAAAAAGAGGCTGACCTTCTAGGCAAGCAGAATCAAGTTTCACCAAAAAGTGGAAAGTTTGCTATCAGCATTCAATCTTAAAATAAAGTGTCCCTCATTTACATAATTAGAATTTGGCATCTCCAAAGAGGAGTCAGTCCAAGCACTCCACTGTTTAGTAAAATACGCTGCAGGACATCACAAAACCTCCACAGAGGACGATTGAGAAGTATTTTAAAAGGAAGATGAGGCGGCGTACTGCAGAGACGTATACATACAAGTTCAGACCAAAGGAGAAGCCTCTCTGTTGAAAGAAGCTGAATCAATGTAGCTGCCGGGGGAGAATTTAGCCTCTGCCTCTTGTAACTGCTGTATAATTTACCAGTTCTTATCTCCGCATGTAGCACATGCTGATCTGGGATAATAGTATTGTTTGATGAGGATGCCAATGGAGCAGACAGTCATAAGATAACGTGCATCCTTCACACGTGCGCCGTGTGGACAGTCTGTTATTTTTAAACCAGGGAACAATAAAGAAGGACACTGCATTTATTCTGTGTTTAGTTTAGATTGTTGCCATATAAACTTGAACAAATCATATACCCCAATTTGAGTGAAAAGGATGAAGTGAAAAACATGTTCTCTTCTTCCCCCTGACGGTATTGTGAAGTAACTTTTCTATCAAACCCCTAGCAAACGCTGGAATAGTGACTGTGTGTGACCTTACAACGAATACATGTAAATGTGTTTACACAGAGAGGGGAACACAGGAAGTATGCTAAAACGGACTGAAATGAGAACAGCAGGGTGATCTAAAAGCTCTTTGTTTCCTCCATTTTGAAGTCAGTTTATGTAATTTAGAGTGGGTCTCACCTTTTCAAAGATATAAATGAGATTAATTATTTCCTAAGTGACAGCCATATGGCCATTAAAATGAAAAATTAGTAAACAATTCTTCCTCCCATTAAAATAGAGCAGAGTTCAGGGCTTAAGTTAAGTTTAAGTTTCTGAATTCAACCAGTTTTAATGAAACACAATCAGTCCAATCTATAACTGGGTCAGCATCTTTGTTTTTTTATTTCCTTTAAATAGACTGAACATCATGGTTCAGAAACAACTAAACCAGATAATCTATAGGTGTTTAGAATGAAACCTTTTAAGACGTGAACTCGGACATTATTCCAAGTAAGTAGCACGACCATAGAAGACTCATGCTGGCTATTATCCATCAATTAGGGTGATTGTTTCTGAAACACCAATGATTTTACTGGTCCACTGAAATTGGCTGATAATAGCGGCATGTCATTGTATCCCGTGTGGTGGCGAAAATGGAGTGACAGATTTGTACGAATCTCATACCAGGAGGCAGAAATTACTGTGATGCGTCATTTTGTAAAAAGGCATAATCCTAATAGCAGCAGAGCAGAGCTAGAACTGTAAGTATCACATTGACAGCAGGGTGGGTACTGGTGCGATATGAAAGGACTTTCTAAACTGGGGGTAACATTTCCAATTCCATTCTGTCACTGTTATCACAAGTTTGTCATATTGGTGCATCATGTTCCAATACTCTTTAATCCCTTGTGACAAGGTCTGAACAAATGTACTTTTTTACATTTTCTCTTATTTCTTCTGAGCGTCGCACAGAGAAAGCAAGGAGCAGAAACTCAGACTAGTTTATAGTTTACAATATTCCTCTGCCTGTAGTGCAGCCAAGAGGAAACTAAAAACCTCAAAACAAATGTTGTGTTTTCCTTCTTAGGTTTAGTATGAAAAATGACAGCCTCAAGAAGGTTTTGGTTTTTAGTCTTTCACTGTGTTGGCCAGACCTTCCAATTGGCTGTCTCTATTGATGTCCAATTGAAGTATTTGGCGATCGTGAAGGCCGGTAGAATAAACATTATCCTACAACATTCTGACAGTGGAAGGCAATCATCACCGTTGTACAGGAATCATCCAAACACCACGGTTACAGACGACTCCTCTGCAGTGGTACACTGAAAGATGGTTTGGCAGAGTGAAGCTCGGGAGATGCTTGTTTTGCCTGTAGATTGTTTCATGTTTTAGTAAATGGTGGATCACAAACATGGACGGGGAGGTATTCCAAAACGCAACGTGGGTACAAAGCATCACCCAGGAATCATTTCAAATGTTACATCTAATGGGCTGCATTTCTGCACGGAATTTACAGCACAAGATTTTCAAATCTGAAAAGGTGCAGGCAGCGCTCGCATTTGTGCAGAAACATGGGACGAAAAAAGGAAAAACACCAGGGCTTTGCTTCTGGGCCGCAAAGACAAATCTGTTTTTCTCCAGCAAAGAACAACCCTGGCTGTATACAAAGCGAGACAGGATGTGTCCAGACATGTTGTGTGTTTGGATTCCACTATTCATCACTTCAAACGTATACTCAGATCCCTGCCAATACAATGCCGGATCCCCAATGCAGCTCAACGGCGTGACTGCCGCCGGTGTTCCGAGGCCCAGGAGGCACAGCCAGTGATTTACTATCTAGCTGTATTTTGTATCACTTGGGTGCGCACCACTGGCGACACCGATGCCCTGTTACGAGCAGCTTTGCCGTATTTGTAATTCTGTGTAGGATCAGTACCTGTGAGGTGGTATCTCCTCAGCATTCATCAGAGGACACTCTAATCTGGTTCCGTCTCAACTCTGCCTCCACGACAATGACATGAGATAAGTGTGATGAGGCAGAACCGAGAAGAAATGTACGCCGCAACCCACTGATCAGATGACATGTTGCAATTACTCACCGGGGAAGTTTGCTCTGTGATACAAGGCCCGCAGCTGGCGTAGACGCGCTGTGCTCAGGGATCATCGGCGTGGTAACTTTGTTTATTTTGTCCGTGGATGATCCAGGCTAGTTTCTTGATGGTGTTTAAAAGCTAAAAAAAAAAAAAAAAACATAAGTGAGCGCACTATTGATGGAAATACAGTGTTGGCTGTTAATGGGGAAACAAAAGAAGTTGAACATATGGTGGCCCTGAAGTGCAAAACACAACGGCAAATAGGAACGCACAACGGCAATAACTTCTTGCGGAAAGGGTTGGGCCTTGGGCCTGGATAGCAGAGGATGGACCCTTCTGATTGGACAGACGGACTATCTGTCATTTAACCCTCTTAATCCGAAGCCTTTCGCCGGCGACGGAGTGACAGGGAGGATTCAAATTACCGTGACTCCTTAACTATTTGCACAATCGGATTTTGAAATCTGAGAAATGCCGCTTTATGTCAATCAATATATCAGTGGCGGGACTGAGAGGCTGTGATGAGGGTATCGTGGACGCTACGGCCGGTGGACCGGCGTGGACACCGATTCCGATTCCTTGGGAGTGCGTGACACGTGTATTTGTGTGTTCTGAGTATAAAAACAATATTCTCAAATATTTTACAACACACTTATGTATGTACTGTCTGTAGGAAGTGTAACACTGAACAAAAAAAAGGGCCTAAGTCATTATGATGAATGGAGAAGAAGTGTTTTCCATTCATCATAGTGTTTTACATTGAGCACATCAATGTTCATCTGGTTCTTATAAACGTCTATTCATATGATGGTGTGTGTTTGTCATTTGAAATCAAAATACCATTTTGAGAAGAAATAACATTGTTTTGAATGTAAAGTCACATTTTGCAGGATAATTGAGGGGTTTTGCCCATTGTGTGTGTGTTTTTTATTTGTGTGTAGAGTTCTGAGAATATGAGGCATTCTTTCAGAATATGTGTGTAAACAATCGAGAAAAACTGTAAAAGACAGACAGTCTGACTGTCCAATCAGAAGGGTCCATCCTCTTCTTCCTGCTACAAGGCCCTACCCTTTCCTTAACAAGTTAATGTCGTTGTGTTTTCCTATTTGCTGTTGTGTTTTCCTATTTGCTGTTGTGCGTTCCTATTTGCCGTTGTGTTTTGCACTTCACGGCCACCGTATAAACATCATATTTTATACTGATAAAAATCTATTTTCTATTTTTTTCACAAAGGTATAAGTATATGTCATGTTTTACTTGAGTAAGATTGTACTTTAAAGTGATGGCCGACAGCCAGACAGATGCCCAATCCCTTCGGGAGTTAACTGACACAACCTGGTTGTAATGTCTTAAAATTATATGAATATGAATGAAAGCGGAGCACTTTGCTACACATCTTATTATGTTGATGACTCCAAAATGTTTTTTATTGCCTGATTTGCAGGTCTTCCAGTTTCTTGCCATAAGCAACCGAGAGGTAAGTATTGGATAATTACCTTACTTTCATTTTAAAACCTCCTCAACAAGCACAATTTTAAGAATTTTATCTCATTCCATAATCCCAAATCCATATTGATTCCCTCGACCCCCATCCCTTCATCCCTCCAACCCATCCCTACATCTGCCTCACCGCTATCTAAATCTAACCCTCTCATTCATTATGCCATAAACCTTTTGTTGTGATCCTTATTGTTGTGGTCTTTGTCAGCGTGCTACTATTGAATTATTCTGATTTCATTTGTTTTTTGGACTATCTTAAATTCTGATATTGAGTTTTGCCAGACTGAACACACGGCCTTCCCCTGACAACACCATGAATTGTGGGCAATTATCCTGGGAAAAGCTGGTAGAAATGTCGATCGTCCTTTTTAAATATTTACCGAAAGATGTTGATGTACGTGTCTTTGAACATTTTTATGACACACGCTCATCTGGTTACAGAAGCTTTTTCTCAGCTCTCTTTGTTGATTTGTGTCATTTCTCCCTTTTTTTTATGAAACTTGGAAACCTGAGTGGAAACAGAAAGAAATGGGTAATGGAGGCTCTATCACCCGTGGGAGGAGGCCAAATAGGCAACTTTCCAGCTTCTGAGTAGCAACAGGAAACACATTTTTGATTGAGTTTAGCTTTAATGTCCAAAACTCAATGAGCGGCAAATAGCATGCTCGGGTTTGTCAACCTGGCTGGTCTGTGATTGTTTTCTACCAAAAAGATATCGAACGGACACAATTAGGAAGAGATGGCATTAGACAGCCTGGAACAATTGCCCCAGGCAACAGTTTGTTTTTCATTTTATGGTTTCATTTATTCCGCTGTGTGTGCAAAGGAGTTCATGTTATAGAGCAAAACTTCCAAAAAGGGAAATCTGAAGGGTCTGAATTAGAACATGTGCAACTTTTATCTCCAGTGCAGTATAATTTTGTATTCAGGCATGAATACAGTTTTTTTACTGTTGGGTGCAGCGTGGTGTGCTGCCATGGACCAGCTCAACCTTTAGTACACTTCAAGATGCACATACAAGACAAAATGGATTTTCACCAAAGTCTGTCCTTGAAATAAGTTGATTTGTGTGCCTTTTACCTCCAACAGGAAGGTCCACACATATCCACATCTAAGAGTTAACATTCTAACTGTTGAGTCATCAAAAAGAAAAGTCATTCATTGTCATTACTTTATTTTTTTCTTTTAATATTGGAATGGACATTTTACATGGAAAATGTGTTTAATCATAAAGAGCGATAAACAATAATATAATAATAGTACCTGATGGTTCTCATAAGACAAATGAAAATATCTTTGAGAAAGGACAAATATAATTTGTGCTTGTTGCATTTGACAAAAGAAATGCAGGGATGAATAAGCAGATTATTTTATTTAATAATTAGGATGTGAAATAGGAAAGAAATGATTTCTTGACACCCAAAATGCAGAGCAGCATAAATCATGTCACATTGTTGTAATGTAGATTTGATTATTCTGTTTTCCAATTATTGTGCCAGAGTTGTTCACACTGCAAATTCAATTCTTTGTCTGCTGTTTTCCAAACTAAAAGTGAAATGGAAATGTACTGTATTCAGAGGTAAAACTGTATGTCAGCAAACACCCTCACAGAGGAGAAACATGTTTGTTCCCTTTCACTTGGACCTTTTGAAAATGATGCAAGCATTCCTAAAACGGATCTGTAGATCTCACTGGTTTAAACCAATCTCAAGTTTCGGATTACTTTATTAATTCATTTAGGCAAGCTGGTTCAGCAGTTACTAGGACTTTGTGGAATATGTTTTATCAACAACTTACTCCTCTTTTTGCTAATAGTTAAGATGATTTCGTTGATGAATAACATGTTAGGTAAGAGATGTTATGCTTCTGGCTTTGGGATTTCCACTCGGGTGAGTCATTGAAACATTTTCACACTACATGGTGGTTAATAGTTAATGATTTAAAGTAAAAAATGTAAGATATTTGACTAACATTTACAGCTAAGCACTGTTTACTAGTTTCCTAACTTTACTGTGACATTTTTACAGTATAGTTTATTATATTGATATTCTTAATCTTATTGAGATTTACAGTGAATAATATGCTGTCATATTATTGAATTGATTTATGATTTTACAGTAAAATACGATAATATTATAGCATGATACCACAGTATAATTACAGCATTGTAGTCCAATCATGCTTTGCAGGATTTAAAGTCAAATATTCTGTGTGACGGTTCCTTCTGCATTGATTAGAAAATATAATTATGAGTACTCTAATCAAAGCCTTTAAAGTAATAATAGTGTAATTAATTGTGAAATGTGTCTTAAATCGTGTAGACCTCCGGAAATAAATTACTGTGTTCAAACACAATAAATATACACTTTACTGTTCAGTTAGTGGGCACGAGGGGGTCCTTGAAGTAAAAATGTTTGAGAAGCAGGAATGAATTATTCATTAGGAAACCAGTGGGGCTTACACCCATAGACTTTCTTGTTAAACTGTAAATGTTCTTTGTATTTGAAGAGAATGTAAACCCTGTAGGGATATACTGTGGTTCTGAAAAAGGTAGAAACTATGGAAAGGAACTGATGTTCGGAGGCACTGCCCTTGGATCCTCGCACAGGACGATCTGAGTGGTGACAATAATGGGGGGGGGAAGAGCTCTAATAACTGCAGTCATCATGTGGTGAAAATAGCTACAGTTCATGCAGAGGAAAAATGTTTGTCCCCGCCTATGTGGCATTTTAACTATTGAAATAACTATTATAACATCTATCCTTTCAGACTTTGTCCTCACTTCTGTTTTCCTCCCATCACGACCAAACTATATAGTGTGAAATTGAGATATCGTTGCATCCCAGTGAAAGATCTTGATAACCGGTTTTGGTGTCACGGGTCACGCTATTCCTCTTGTAAGCAATGCACAATGCATGCGAAAACATTCATCTTTGAAAAAACTGTCTGAGGGAAACGCAGCCCACTGTATGTCATTATAGGACTTCAGTTGGAACAAAAAAAACTACTAGAGCCGATTAACAAGGCTCTGCATAAATCGAAAATGTGAAAAAATGTGAAATATGCATCAAATACATAAAGCTTAAAAACCTCTACGCCCTTTTACTGAAGTGCAAAACATCAACAAAGATGGCCGATACAAATTAACCACTTAAGTGCCTTTTTATACTAGTAAACCTAGCTAAACGCTAGCTCCTGAGGTATAGATGTAGAAAATGTATTTGTGCAACTTCATCTGTTGTCAATAAAAATGTTCAACTTCTTCTCTAAACAAACGCGGCACTGCTGTGGTGGCTCACAGGATCTGCTCATTGGCAGGGGGTGTCTTTCCTGCAGCTTCTTATATCAGAGGACTGTTTGTCATACAGAGTGCATGTTCTCCACACCTAAATACTATTTACAGATGTGTTGAGGACAAAATAATATTATTTCACGCAGAAGTTTTCCAGCAATACAAACTTTCAATAGTGAAATCATCCTTCTCCCGTATGGAGTAGTACATTTACAAATGGTTGTATACAACGGAGCAAAAAATCTTGATTAAAATATATATGTTTAGCTGGTAGACTACAGGTATTTAGAAATCCAAACATCTGGCTGGGCTTTTTATCTTAAGCCTTTTTATTTGGTGAGCTCACGGTAAAAGTTCACAGGACAAAGGAATACAGGCATGTTCTCCTACCTGTCTCTTAACTCTGAAATGCTCCCGGCTTAACTGCTGTTCAGCAAAGAAGTACTGGCAATAATCAAGGATATCAGCATATTTCAAGCACCAGACGGTTCCCTGTAGTGAACAGCTGCTCTTCACATCCTCCAGGAAGTTTTCAAAATACTGGTGAGCATCTCCTGATTTTATGGTTACTCAGGGTCTGGGATATTAAGAAGACCTCTGTCCTAAGAAGCTATTTACTGTACGCTGATGGGAAAAGATCCACGCCCCAAAAATGTTCCTGTCTCTTGTAATTGTGCTAAATTTGTAAAGTTATATATATAGATTATATATTATATTGTGCACGTCATCAAGCTTGTTTTCAAATCGTATACAATTTCATCTACAGATGTTCCTACGGCAACACGATTGGTGAGAACCTTCATAACGTCAATGTAGATAAAAGCGTGAAGAATGAGTAGATATAAAAATGTTCCTTGATGGTGGTCTTGGGACTAAATATATAGAGGGTTTTTTTGCAGAGGGTTTTTCCCTCTTGTAGCTCTTTTGCTCACAAAACACTTCAGGCTCCTGCTGTGGACTTTTAATGGTCACTGCATGCTCAAGTCCCTTAGTAAGACATCCGTCATGTGCAACATGTGTCCTGTTATCTTCCATGTTTGGTTCACTGACCGTGGGCAGCTTCACTCCAATACTTCCTGCGAACGTAAAGCAATGTATATAATTGCCCAAGTACGGGCACAAGTGCGTGTGCACTGACTACCTCTGTGGGACGCGTCAGTCTGTTCACTCTCTGCTCACATTGCAATCAGCTTTACCGTGTTCTTTGATATCGCTGACATTTTGTAAGCCACACAGAAGACCTAATTACCATCTAATTTCATGCCCTTTTCGCTGATTAGATGTGATGATAAAATATATGCGGCATTAGCGACACAGGTTTTGCGAGAACAAACAGATTTATAGGAATATTATTTACTGTTGAATTATGTATCTACAGGTGTGAGGTAACATAATGTATGACCGGATTTACATGAAACAACATGTCGACATCGGGAATCTTGGCTGAACGGTGGATGTGATTATTTACAGCTTAATTTCCATGTGATCATAGCATATGTCCTCTGTGTCTGATTTATGATCTATATATTGTAAGTTCAATGCCGCAGGCACAGTTTCGGAATATACTATAGGAATAAATGCAAATTGTTCTGTTTACGGGTCCATTACTAGTAATTTATCTTCTCTCATTAAAGCATCAACCTAAAGGCACCTCAGCAACATAACGGCACAGAATTATGTACATA